GCTGGCTCTCACCTGAGGCCGGGTTGGCAGATCTGTGGGTGGCCTTCAGCAGCACCCCTTCCATCTGAGCACCAGGCAAGCCCCTGTTCTGGGAGAAAGCTGGCCAGGGCTACCGTGAGCACATTATGGCCAGGGCACACCTTACACCCAAGGGGAAGGCCACCGTTGGAGGTCAAGCTTTCCCACTAGTGGACAGCCAGATGTTCTCGACCACCATTTTCCAGACTATGCTTCCCTCTAACAAGGAGATGTCCCACACAATCCTCGCCATCTAACAATAGCTGAACCTCCCCTACCGGCAGCGCATGAAGAGGCACACACCCACACCTAGAGGTTCTCAGACATACCTGCGCAAAGGCATTCTGGAAGAGAAGGCTGTGGGATGCCAGTTGGTCAATATTTGGGGACCTCACCAGCTTATCCCCATAACATCCCAGGGAGGGGCGCAGGTCATCCACAATGATGAGAAGAACATTCACTGCATCTACACAGGAGGGAGGGTCTTTGGTGAGGCAACTGCACTGACACCGTCAGGGTACTAAGAGGCCCAAGGCTGGACCCTGCCCCTGAACAACCCAGCCAGGGAGGGAGCTGTGCCTCAGCAAGGGTGGGAGTGGGGCTCCAGGAAGAAGCCTGAGTCCTGGGTGGCAGGGTTAGGCTTTGGCCATGGCCTCAAACCTGGGTGAGGGAGTGAGATAGTGAATGAAAGATGACAGAAAGGAAAGAATTTAGGAAGAAAGAGAATGGTGTATGGAGGGAAGGACAGATGGTTGGATAGAGGAAGAAAAGGAGGAAAAGATGAATAGCTGAAGGGAAGAAAAGATAGAGAGGAGGGGAGGAGAGAGAAATATGAATGGATAGAAGGTAAAAAGGAAGGATAAACTAATGGAGGGAGGAAAGGAGAGGGGGAAAAGATGAAGGGAAAGAGGAAGAGAAGTATGGTGGGACAGAAGGAGGATGAATGAACAGATGGAGGGAAGGGAGGGATGGAGGGGAGGAAGGAGTGAAAAATGGAGGGAGGGAAGGAATGATGGATGGATGAAAGAAAGAATGGTAGGAGGGAGAGAGGGTAAAAAGAATGGATATAAACAAGGAAGGATGGATGGAGACGAAATGGCAGAGGGGGCGTGAGTGTCACCTGTGGTCGAGTTGGCCTGTGCCTGGGATCCCAGGGTGACGCAGACGGAGCCCAGGACCAGACCGAGCAAGAGAAGGCATCGGCCGGTCCGGGGCGGTGGCATTTCGGCTTTGACTTGACCGCTCCGGAGCGGTGGTGACAGACTGCAGCAGGCGGCGCGATCAGCAGCCGCCGCCGCAGCCACAGAGGCCTCCACGTCGGGAACCCACGAAGACTGCGCAACCAGCCGCCGCCCGGGCCCAAAGGCCCGGGCGCTGGCCGCAGCAGGAGTGAGTCTGTGCGTCTCTTCCCTGCGTCCCTCCCCTCGGGGGCGGGGCCTTGAGGGGTGTGCGTCATCCTGCGGCAATGGGCGTGGCGGAGGGACGGGCGCAGAGCGGGGTGGGCCAGCTACTTGGAGAGTTTCTCAGACTCAGCAGCCCTTAGGCCCCCTAGGTGGAGAACTGCTGAGGGTATTTCGATTCAGTCACTGCCCTTAATAACTAGCAGTTACCCGTCCTTTTGCCTTCGCTTGTGCTATGCCTTTCACCTGGAAGCCCTGCTCTTCCCTCTTATCCTTATAAAAGACACACTTCTTGCATTCCAGCCCCAATGCCATACTCCTTCGATGAGGCGGTTTGAGAAAGTCTCTTCCTCCATCTAAAAGGACTCCCTTTCCTATTCATTTCTTCAACTAATTCTTATTAAGCATCACAAATATGTATAACAGGCGCTGTTGGTGGCACTGGGTCTCTATGTCCCTGCCTTGGTGGAGCTTAAAACAATAAATAAAAAAATAACATAGAATGTCGGTGGGCATAGCCGGTCTGGAGAAAAATAAAGCGTGGGTACGGGGGCATGCTTGTTATTTTCTATGGGGTGGCCAGGCGGGGCCTCATTAGTGAAGTGACATTTACACAAAATTTTGAAGGAAGTGAGGGAGCAAGCCGCTTTGAGATCTGCAAAAAGGGTGCGCCAAACAGAGAGAGCAGCAATTGCGGAGATGGAATCCTAGCCCTACACTGTCCTGTATTGAATACTATTATACTGTCCTAATACTGCAAACACAGTTTGATTTTCAGCTTTGAGAATCAATCTATAACAAAGCCCAGATGACTTAATTATGACTAAACAACAACGGACAATGGGAAGGTACAAATACAGCCGTGATGGTGCTGTAATGCACTCCTCAGATCTCCCTTCAAGACCAAAAATTCTGTTTCCCTAGCTGGCTTGAAAGCTGTTAGCTATCCTTAGCTGTTGTTAACCCTCCTCAGAAATTGTCTTAGGAAAAGATAGGCCCCTCAACCATGGTCACCCCTGATCTCAGGAAGCCCACATCAATGATTCAACTTGAAGGTATAGAGGTCCAGCTTCTTACCCCAACTTGGGACATCTCTGAAAGGCCATACCAGCCTCAGAGCTCCCTGTGGGGTTAGCTGAAGCCTTTTTTGAGACTGCCCACTTTCTCCATTTGCTGAATTCTGATTTCTTCCCTCCCCTCCCCGATCCTCCCCTTCCACAGGTGTTAATCCTAGGAGTTCTCCCTAAGAAACTTCCTGTACATTACTCTCCATCTTAGTCGGCTTCCTTGGGAACCTGACCTGGAACAACACTTGACAGAAAGCTGGAAGGAGGAAGGGAGATGGCAGGAAGTGTAGGCACATTAATATCCTGATCACAAAGTAAAAAAATTGTATCAATAGTTGTCTTCTCCAGTTCATAGGAAGAGAAATACAGATTTACGGATATTAAAGATACGAAAGTAACCAATAGAAAACTTAAAAATAGCAATAATAAATAAATCTATATATTAAAAGGAGAAGGGGGGTGCCAGGTGAGGTGGCTCATGCCTGTAATCCCAGTACTTTGGGAGGCCAAGGCGGGAGGATCATGAAGTCAGGAGTTCGAGACCAGCCTGGTCAATATAGTGAAACCTGTCTCTACTAAAAAAATACCAAAATTAGCCGGCCGTGGTGGTGTGCACCTGTAGTCCCAGCTAATCTGCTGAGACAAAAGAATTGCTCGCTTGAAACCGGGAGGTGGAGGTTGCTGTGAGTCGAGATCATGTCACTGCACACCAGCCTGGGCGATAGAGTGAGAATCTGTCTCAAAAAAAAAGGAGAAGGGAAAATGGTAGGGAGAGATGAAACAAAATTTTCCATGAGTTGATTACCAATGAAATTCATTAATGAGCACCTGGGGTTTATTTCCAAAATCCAAGGTTAAAAATGTGTATGTACATAAAAAGAGGAAGGGATAAATGATCTCATCTATCATAAGAAGAAGTCAGCAATGTCTAAAGTTGAAAATGACATTAGAAAGTTAGTATAGAAATACCACAGTATTTAGAGAGACAGGGAAAATCTACCAGAAGAAATGAAAGTAGAAACATTTAAAATTAGAACAGAAGAGGGAAAGTATAGGGAAGAGGGCCTTTGCTTTGTATTACATGTTTTTTGGTCTTTTTTGACTTGTTATGTATTAGATAATGTCCTCCCCCAAAAATTATATGTTGGAGTCCTAACACCCCATACCTCAGAATGTGATCTTATTTGGAAACAGGGTCTTTCCCAGGGTAATCAAATTAAAATCAGCTAATTGAGTTGGGCCCTAATCCAATATGACTGGTGTCCTTATCAAAAGAAAAAATATGGACACAGATACAAACACACAGAGGGAAGACAACCATGTGAAGACAGAGGATTGAAGTGATGCATCTACAAGCCAGTGGATGCCAATGATTGCCAGCAAACCACAAGAAGCTAGGAAGAGGCAAGGAAGCATTCTTCTTCTGTAGGTTTCAGCAGATGCATGGCCCTGCTGGCACCTTGATTTAAGATTTCTGGCCTCCAGAACTGTACTGTTGTTCTAAGCCACGTAGTTTGTAGTACTTTGTTACAGCAGCCCTATAAAACGAACACTACCTATAAACAATTCAAAATTTAACAAGATTGATGGGCTACAGAGAAGCCCATCTGGAATAGAAAATTACATATGCCATTTGGCACAATTGTGTGTGTGTTTGTTGTTTGTTTGCTCTGGTGTAAGCTCGATGTTTTGCTGGGGCTCATAGCAGCAGAAGGACTAGCGTGGGAGCAAGTGGAGAGAGCCAGTGAGAAAGCAGTTCAGGTGGCTGACAGTGGTTAAGAAGACTGGTGGACTGAGGACAAAGCTCTAGGGGATGGGTAAGTAGGTAGAGAGGCAGTATAGGTGTGAGAGAACTGGTTTTAGTCCCAGAATGGGATCCTAAAATTTGAGATTTCTGAGATAAAACAGATCCTGGTGATTTAAAGGTCAAGGATGTGGCCTTGAAGGTGGGAGGCTGAGGTGGGGAGGAAGAGATTGCTAGAAGTTAGAGATGAGGAAGAAGTCAAGAGTCTGTGAGTGGCACAGGCTGTTGATGAATACACTGCAGTCCCCCAGAATGATGACAGGACACAGGGTACCAAGGCAGCCTGTGCACCTGGTGCCTGAGTCTTCAGTGAATGACGGATAAGTTACATAATCAATGTTATGTAACAAACGACTACAAGCTTATCACTCGTGACTTATTACCACTCATTTATCACCTCCCAGTTTCTGTGGGTCAGAAGTCCAGGCACAGCTAAGTTGGGTCTTATCTTCAGGGTCTCAAAAGGCTGCAGTGAAGGACTGCATTCTCACTTACAGCTCGAGATTATGGATAGCACAATCCACAGGTACTCAAGTCCTGTATATCAGATGGTGTAGTATTTACATATAATATATATTCATCCTTCCATATACTTTACATTATCTCTAGATTACTTATAATTCCTAATGCAATGTAAGTGCCATGTAAACAGTTGTTATCCTGCATTACTTATGAAATAATGACAAGGAAAAAAAGTCTGTACATCTTCACTGCAGAGGCAACCATCCATCTTTTTCAAATTCACCAGTTGGCTGAATCCACAGATGTGGAACACGTGGATAAGGAGGGCTGATCATACTACATTCTACCCATACACAAGGGGTCACATACAATAGGGGACAGGAAACTTGGGGGGCCACCTAGAATTGCATCTACCACAAAAGAGCCCTATCTTGAGTCTCAATTCGAACAGATAACAAAATTTAATCTAGTCAATTCCACATTTTCCCAGTTACTTCAGGATTGTCTTACTAATTATCAATTATTGTTACCAAGCAATTCAGGATTGTCTCCTTTGCCACAGACTATAGCCTAAATTCTGTGAGGCTCTTAAATTCGGGGGCGGGGGGAGAGAGGGAGAGAGAGAGAGAGAGAGAGAGAGTGAAAGAAAAGAGAATCTGGCCATTGTCATTGGCAACTTGTCCATGCGAGCATCCACTCCAATGTAAAATCCCATCCAGCCCTCAGAGATGGCGTATCTTCATGCTGTCTTCCAATGTGGTGTTGTCATTCTAACCTGGTTCCTAGCTGCACAGTCCATGTCACTTTCTATTGTGACATTTTTTGGAGGCATGCTCTCTCTCTCACTCGTTCTCTCCCCCTTTCCCTCTCCTTCTCACTCCTTCCCTCCCACTTTCTCTTTCCCTCTCTCTCTCTCTCTCCCTCCCTCTCTTATCTCCTTGGAGGCACAGGAAAATTCAGCTGCTTTCCCATGCCACTTTAGTGTCACAACAAGCTCAGGGGACTGCCCCAGACACTTCTGCAGCTAAGATATGTGGATTTGGTATGAGGGGAGTTCTAGGACTCTAGGCCTTTTAGGGTACCATGCAACAAAGAGAGTCCCCTTGCTCCTGGGCTTCTACTCTACCTCCACCTTTGAGCCCAACTCCAGGAGAAGGAGACAAAGCACATTGGCAAATTGGTATATATTCCCACACATTGGTAGGCTGAGGATTCAGCGGAGAAATCAAGATTTGTTTCTCATTTCCAGGTCCAGGGATCCTTGGATGGGCACTCCTCAAGGGCAGGCTCTGTCCTGTCCATTTACTACTGTATCTCCAGGGCTAGTACCTTCGTGGGGTTTCAAGGACTTGGGATGAGAACCATGATGAGAATTACCTGGATGAGAAAGGAGAGTGTCCTAGGCTGTCCTTAGCCCAATGCCACTGAGGGCTCTCTCCCCTACAGAGTCACAAGCAGGGCCCTGGACTCTGTGGATGTGGGTAACCCCCCATATAGGCACCGAGGAATGAGAGCTAAGCAGAACCCTGGCACAGTTAGGGCTTGAGGAATATCTCACTTTATAGTGTTACTACTCAGCTATTTCCTTTTACATAATCCTTTACATAATCATATATTAGTTTATAGAAATAGGTCTTGAAGGATCCCTTTATATAATCCTCTATATATAATCATATAATAGTTGATAGTATGAGTGCCTAAAGAATATTTCCCTACATATATACCTATAATTATATCTTAGTTCACAATCAGAGGAATGCCTAGAGTGGACACAGTACAGAGCATAAATTTAGGAATAAGCGGCTTATAATCGGAGGAATACCTGGAGCAGACACAGTGCAGAGCATGAATGAAGGGCAAAACAGTTATACCAGGACAAGAATCCATGGCCCAGGCGGCAGCGTTCAGTAAAGATACCCGCTGTATGGCAGGTTTGGGGGCAAGAGCCACTCCTCCTGATAAAGGAGTTGTAGGACCTTGCTCCAGTTCTTGTGGAAGGCTGCCCTCAGAACGGCAATCCACCTTGGTGACTGTGAACTTTATCAGCTCTTGCTACCGCGCTGCTTGAAAAGCATCTTCCCACAGAACCCATTGGAAGCTGCCAGAAGGTGGCGGTAACCTTGACAGCTCTGTCACTACTATGTGACTTAAAGCATCCTCCTATAAATCTTCTTAGAAGTGTTGTCCCATAGATAGAAGTATCGCACACTGCACCCTCTTCACTGCGCATGGCCCACCTTCAAGCCTCGGTGACCTAATGGGGGTGGACCCCTTACTGCACACGACCCTTACCTTCATGGGAACTGGCCCCTTGCTGCGCACTGTCCACCTCCTGGCCTAGGTGACCTAATGGGGGTGGACCCTATGTTTTATTGCTCACGACCCTATCACTATCCTTAAAGATGATTTCACTCACTGCCCTGCCCCCCTAGCCTATACATAATAAATACTCATGCTTCTGGACATTCGGGGCCTCGCCTGACTCCGCTTATAGGTGGCGTGGCCCCCCAAGCCTAGTGGCGTTTTTCTTGTACTTCTGTGTCCTGTCTCTTTATTTCTCAGATCCTGCACCTCAGCACAGCATAAGGCTCACCCCACGACCCTGTGGGGCCTTCAGCCCTACAGTGGGCACATGAAATGGTATTCTAAGCAGGAGCCTAATGTGGGCTGTGAATGTCACCAAATGTGCTGGGCACGCAGGGCACTGTTCCCAGAAGAGACTATCTCAAGATGCATGAGGAAGCATGCTATAACTCTGCTCTCAAGCTGTCTGGAGAGTACAGATGATCATCCATAGGCATCTAGCTCTATAGCCAGGTTTGGGCTGCCCTGAGGACTAAGGTGCAGCAGTAGCAGCCCTAGGCTCCCTGGGGTTCCAGAGGAGTGAAAGGTAATTTCAACACAACCAGAATCTGATTCTGTTTTACTTCCCAGGAAGTATAAATGAAGCCCCATGGAGTATGAGGGGGCAGCCAAGGGGCTGGTCATCACAGAAGCCTTCACATTTGCTGGGCTCCTACCCTGGGTCACACACTATGTCAGGAACTTTATAAGCGGAGATATTCTCTCATTATGGAAGAGGTTAGTCCCAGTCCCATATGCCAGCGGACATCTTGCATCATCCTCTGAACCATCTTTCCCTCCCTTCCTCTTCTTTCCAGTTCTTGCCCCACCCTCTTCCCTGTTCCCTCTTCCTTCTCTTCTCCTCTCTCATTTTTCCCCCAAGTTCAGACTTTCCCGTCATGTCAGGCAGTGATTCAGCCACTTCAGCTCTGGGTGGGCTGACAGACCAGACTTAGAGCAGGTAACCCTAGTAGTTAGTGCTGTCAGAGCCAGAAAGTAAAGGAATTATAAAAGCCTCCATCAGGGGTCACTAAGCTCTGGTGTTTTACCCCCTCTACTTTAAAGGTGATTCATTTCCTCAAAACAAAACAAAACACACACACACACAAACAACAACAACAAAAATCCCTTACTTTGTAAAGTATAAGCTTGAAACAAAATAAGAAAAACAGAAGTGCCTAATCAGATCTTTGGAAGTATTACATTGCACTGTCACTGAGTGAGTGAGGCATGACTGGCTCTTTTTCAGTTTGGATTGCATTCATCTGAATGGAGTGGGTACATTGGTTATCCCCTTTTCTCCTGGTTTTTGGTGTTTCTGTTTGATCTAGAAAGGATTTATGCTTACTCCCCCAGATGTCTTTACAAAGAGTCTCGGGAAGGGAAACAATAATGGCTGTTTGGGAATAAAGGAGTGCTCTCACAGTTGACGGTTTCCTGATCTGGGCTTGGGTAAGGGGAAGAGCTTCAGGTATATGGCCTGTCAGTCATATACCTGGGACCTGTCCCATGGTCATACAGACCAGACCCTGAACACCTGCAGTCTCAGGTTCTGACAAGCAGATATCTTGCAAAGCAGAGTCCATGGCTGGAATTTAAGGCAGAGCCCATTCCCTCTTGCCAGCAAGACAGGAGTGTCCCTTCTGAAGTAAAAGCCAGAGGACAAGATGGACTAGGAATCACTGCAAAGACATTGCTCCTCAGCCTTTGGTGATGTTCCTCCAAGGCCCTCTCTCACAGATGTGTTATGAGACATACCTCAGCCATGAATGGACACATCAACAATAGGAACAGCTAAACACAGCCTGAAATATGACACCTTCAAGGGAACAAACAGAAGTGTAGGAGGCTCTTCATGGCCCTCTTCAGATCAGTGCTCACAGGAAGTCAGTAGTTTACGTCAAACAAGTATAGCGAGAAGAGCAAACTTGCTGGCTGGGTGAGGAAAATAAGTCCTCTTTTTATGACATGAGACTATTATTTCAATTTTGTCTTTACTGAGACATGAGTTCCTAGGTACTGCATGCTATCTTCTGCTTTTTATTTGAAGAAATGTGGCATTTGGGAAGCAGCAGCTGTCACTCACCCCTTGTGGAATCAGCGTGAATTGATATTTTTGTAACATCATTAAAAAGTCTATCAAAATGGGAAACTTCTCTACCATTCTCTAAGGGACCAACAAAAACACAGGAGGAAGGCTTATCAGCAGAGATTCTTGCTAAAGGGCAAGTGTATTCACATATGAAACACAATTTTCCAAAGTCCTCAGAGTCCACAGCTGGAATTTCCTTCCACTGAATCTTGGAGCCTAAGTGTTGCCATTAAATCCTGGGCAGAAGCAAAGCCTTGAGGTCCCCAGTCTTAACCCCTACTTTGTATCCCAATGCAGAAACCGTCAGCTTGCCCCCGGCTGGCTACCTGGTCCCAACTTTCTGACAGTGGTTAAGCAGTCACATGATAGAGCAGTCTAAAAAGTATGAACTCTGTGGGCACGGTGGCTTACAGCTGTAATCCCAGCACTTTGGGAAGCTGAGGTGGGCAGATCACCTGAAATCAGGAGTTCTAGACCAGCCTCACCAACAAGGTGAATCCCCGTCTCTACTAAATACAAAATAATTAGCCGGGCATGGTGGTGGGCACCTGTAATTCCAGCTACTTAGGAGGCTGAGGAGAATTGCTTGAACCCAGGAGGTAGAGGTTGCAGTGAGCCAAGATCTCCCCATTGTACTCCAGCCTGGGCAACAAGAGCAAAACTCTGTATCAAAAAAAAAAAAAAAAAAAAAAAAAAAAAAGAGTATCAACTCTAGAATCAGACAAACCTGATTTAAACCATGAGCCACTGCTAAACTTCCCTGGACCCCATCAGGAAATGTGAATCCCACAATCAGCCAGTGGAGGGACCCATTCCCAGTCTCCAGTAGATACGCAATCAACTGGGGCTTTGGGAAGCAGATTCTGCCTGCCTGGCCAGAGGCTAGCTTGTGGAGTTCCAGTCCCAGCCTTCTCAGTCTCATTCACCCCCAGCCCAGCTGGGGCAAAGCTGCAGCATTTGCTGGCTCTCCTGAGCCCCACATGGCTCATGTCATGGTTTGTGAACTTCAGAGAGATGCAAAAGGCCAGTGAAATATTTTCAGTTCTGACACCACAGCCTATGGCATGTGGGGTTTTCAGCCTGCACTCAGGTGATGCATCTGGCTAGGCTCCAGGGCTCCGTGAGCATTTTCATGAGGACCCCACCAATGGCTACCATCATGCAATGTAACCTTGTTTTCAACATCGACAATGAGCCGCTTAAAGAATAAGTTCTCTTTTGAGACCAGCCTGACCAACATGGTGAAACCCTGTCTCTACTAAAAATACAAAAATTATTGAGGTGTGGTGGTGCACATTGGTAATCCCAGCTACTTGGTAGGCTGAGAAGGAAGAATCGCTTGAACCTGAGAGGCAGAGATTACAGTGAGCCAAGATTGCACCACTGCTCTCCAGCCTGAGTGACCAAGTGAGGCACTGTCTCAAAAAAAAAAAAAAAAAAAAATTAAGTTCTCATTGGGCTACAATAGCAGGCTGGAAGCAGGGTGACATTAGCACTCTTCATACCACTGTCAGTCCATAGTGGGGTCCAAAGTCACACAAAACACCCCAATACCAAGAATGTTTTGTCTCTTTTTTTCCTACAACATCTTTGTGGATCAAATTCATCCCCAGACTTTTCAACTCATTGAATCCTTACTGCTGCCCAAGGGACCGTGCACTATTTTTCTCTCCAGAGTACCAATGTACAAACTGAAGCTGGGAGAGGGTCATCACTGGCCCAAGGTCTCATAGCCAGCAGAGCTGGAACTTAGCCCCTGGCTTCTTAACTGTTGAGATTCACTCGAGGTAGTTAGCAAAATATTAAAGGAAATATTAAGGAAAGTTCTAAGATTATAGTTTCAAGCTGTGTAGAAGGCTGAAAAGTTTTAATAGGACAGGCTGAAGGTAGCTATTCTTCACCTTAAAGCATTAAGTCATAAAGTGAAGATTAAAGATAATAGAAGCTTCCCCAGTTAAGTCTGTTTACCTCACATTCTTTTGTCTCTACTCTGTTTACTCATGCAAACTTTGTGCTAGATAGCCTTCTAAGGGGAATTCCAAAGAAGATGACCTGTTAATAGTGTTGTTCTAAACTCCCAAAGCTTTTATCATTCGTAAAACCACTCTTTTAACCATGTTAATTATCCACAGTGTGTTGACTTAGAACCTGCTATTAAATTTATACAGAATAAATGTGAGAAGAAACAGCTAATAAAAAGTCAGTTAGCTGCAATCACCCTCTAAGAGCAGCTGACGACCTCCCTAGCTCATTCGATCACTGTACTCTGTGTGTTTGAGTGTATTTATTCATCCACTGCTGAGTCAAAGTCTGCAGGACAGACCTCTCCAAGTAATAATCAACATCTCAGGTGGTGATCCCCACATGACCAACGCCACAGCTAGTGCCTCGGTGTGAGGAGACCTGACATGATCATAATCACAGCAGGCGCTCAGCAGTGTTTGTTCTAAGCCCCAAACCAAAAGCTTTTATCATTCGTAAAACCACTCTTTTAACCATGTTAATTATCCACAAGCATGCTGACTTAGAACCTCTGTTACTAAATCTATACAGAATAAAAGTGAGGAGAAACAACTAAAAAAAGTCAGTTAATTTTCAGATAACTTTCCTGAATTGTGACTAATATGGAGCTTGAATCATTTAAGTTCATTTTTGTTATAAATATATACATACCTATACTTTATTTATTTAGAGTCAGGGTCTTCCGTTGCCCAGGATGGAGTGCAGTGGCATAATCTAAGCTCACTGCAGCCTCAGTTTCCCGGGCTCAAGCCATCTACCTCAGCCTCCCTAGTTAGTTACAATTTTTAAATGGAACGTTTTCCTATTGCAAGTTGAAATCAACTGAAAATTCAGACGTATGTAGAATCTGCTGTGGGGCAGAACATTGTAAAGATAAACATTGAGATTACTGCTTAATTTAATAAATTCTAAAAAAAAAAAAAAAAAAAAAAAAAAAAAAAAAAAAGTCAGTTAGCTGCAATCGCCCTCTCAGAGCAGCTGATGACCTCCCTAACCCACTCAATCATCGTACTCTGTGTGTTTGAGTGTATTTATTCATCCACCGCTAAGTTAAGTCTGCAAGACAGACCTCCACAAGTAATAATCAACATCTCACTTAACCACTATGCAACACTACCACAAGCCAGGGCACCGGTCTGGGCTACTACTCCCTGTGCTGTAAGGGTAACCATGATATGTTCTCGTAGGCAACCAGGGGACGTGGAAGGTCACAAGGCCGAGAGCAGGGGTGGACAGGCAAGAGAATTTCCAGATCATACTCTGTCAGAAAACCCCAATTTTACACAGGAGAAAAGTGCATTTTGTAATTCAGGGTCCAGATTAGTTCTAAGTTATCACTGTTAGCTACCAAGTCTGAGTGAGTAAGCCCCGAGCACCACTGTCTAAAGGACTTTATGGCCCCACGATGCTGGGATGTGGGTTCTACCATCCTCATGTTACATGATGAGAAAGTGAACGTAGTTGTATAAGGTCACACAGCTAGTAAGTGACAAAAGCAGGACTCAAACGCAGTCCCAGCTAGTGAAAAGCCACCTCACTTATCCCCTGTGCTCTACACAGATTTGGTAAAGAAAGAAAGAATAGAATGTGTCACCACATTAAGCACCATGAAGAGACCCCGGGCCATGCACTTGCTACAAGCCAGGCCCTGTGCTAACTGTTTCAGCTTTGAGGCCAACTGGTGTCACCTAGCCACCTTGCCTCCTTAATGTTCACACAAGTCAGTTGCTGGTCATGGTAAGGTCTCCATTCGGACTCCTCTCAGGGAAAAAAATGGAGATCACAAAAATAAGGTAAGCAAGACTTCCCTTGAAAAGCTGCTTTCAGGCATCTTTCCAACCTGCCAAAAATTAACCAGAAGCTTCCTAAGGACAGGAAGAGCTGCCAGCAGAATAATATTGAGAAGCCTGCCACACGGTACTCTGTGACTTCATCTCCTGCAATTAATTGTGTCTCCCACTCGGCACCTGTGAATAACATTTTATGACAGTACCAACTGTGTGTCATGATCACATTTCAAAATCAGACTTTTAAAGCAAGTAACACCCCAGAATTGTGTGGGTGGACCCAGGCTCTGTGTGGTTGCACTGGGAGATCACACAGAGTACAAGATTCCCTGACAGAAGACTTCGCGGGCAGATTTCAGTTATCTGAAATGACTGCTGTACATGTACACACATGCTCGCCAAGGGCTCTTTCTATTTTTTTTAGCCCTATGTTCAGTCTATTTCCTCTAAGAAAAGCTGTGGATGGAACTAAATGAAATTTTACCCACTTGGTGCAATTTAGCCAGAGGGTGGAGTATCCAGCGATCCAGGTTGATCTGGGGCAGGGCCTCATTCTTACCTGTCCTGGGAAGGGCATCCTCATGAGATAAAGGCTGGAGAAAAAAAACACATACCCAGGAACTCCAGCCCTCAACAAATGTTGGCTCTTACTGATGTTAGTATCACAAATGCACAGATAATTTTCAGAATTCAGAAAGAGGATGAGGTGTGCAGATCAGTAACACCCTCACAGTCTAGCAAACACATTGACATTTAAGCAGTGAGATGTATGAATATTCATTAAAAATATGATAAATGAGGAAAATTCAGTATTCTATAAACAGTTTGGTATCATCCATTTTAGGTTTTACTACCAAGAGAATTTAGGACAGGCTTATGGAAAACCTTTTGCTTGCCAGAGCTTTACGGATTAGGGTTTTGTGGATAACAGGCCATGGGTCTGTATTACCCTAGGCATCAACTTCCACACAGATCAAAAAAGAGGCTTCCAGCCTTACAGATTCCTGATACTGAAACAGCCCTCAATTTTCAAACCTATCAGTTTACCCAAGTCGGTTCTCACTGCCTTCCTATTGGCCCCAGGAGCCACTACACATGTTTGGTCAAAATCTATGGATGGAATCTAAGTCCCCAATCAGGCCATATCCTATAGGACCTTCAGGACTACAAACCTATGGTCTCACGGCTCTTCTTCCTTCGTCCCAAGCTGGAGGCTTTTCACTATCTGCCCATCTCCCATCTACAGACTTCAAGGTTCAGGCCAGCACCCCCATACACTTACTCAAGAGGTCGTTCCTGGGAAAATAGAAATGTATCTTCACCACTATTAGTAATACTGTGCTTTATAGTTTACAGATCACTCCCACAGGAATCTCATCACCCCTAGGAGATAACCTGAGAAGTTTCATTACTCCTGCAGGTGGGTGGTTAATATCGTACCCATCTTCCAGATGAGGCAATTGTAGTTCAGAGAGGTATAGTGACTTTCTCAGAGTCACACAACCATTAAGTGATGGAGCCAGGGGTCAATTCCAGGTTTATAACTATAGACAAAGCTTGTGCTTCCTGTCCTGCTTCCCTTGTAGAGGACAGGAGCCTGACTACCTTTATCTCAGTGGGTTTCTTTCTTTTCTTTTCTTTCTTTCTTTCCTTCCTTCCT